TCAATGTTGCTGAAAATTATGAATGCCAAGAAAACAATTGAGGTTGGGGTTTTCACTGGCTACTCCCTTCTATCAACTGCTCTTGCTCTACCTCATGATGGCAAAGTAAGTAGTTTAACACAATATACATCATATCATATCCTTATATAATATTTATGCCAAGAAAATAAAATTTCTCTTCTAAGTCAATATTTTTTATTTTCTTCTTCAAATTAATTTAGATAATAGCTATTGATCCGGATAGAGAAGCATTCGAGACTGGACTGCCGTTTATCCAAGAAGCAAACGTTGCGCACAAAATCCAGTACATCCAATCCAACGCCATGAAAGTCATGGAGCAACTCCTCATCAAGGCACGTATACGTATTTGAATTTTTATTCTATAATTTCGAAACAATAGAGTAGCTAGCTTGAAAATCAAAATAATGACTAGTTTGAATTTTTATTCTATAATTTCGAAACAATAGAGTAGCTAGCTTGAAAATCAAAATAATGACATTACTACCTAATCGATAGTCACATGATATATATTTCCATTTACAACGACTATTAGTTACGTTATATATTCTTAATCAAACCATTTGGATCATTGTATACGTATAGGGAGAAGAAGGAACGTTCGATTTTGCATTTGTGGATGCTGACAAGGAAAATTACATAAACTATCACGAGAAGCTTATGAAGCTTGTTAAGGTTGGGGGAATTATTGCCTACGACAACACCCTGTGGTCAGGGACTGTGGTGGCTTCCGAAGATGCCGAGATGGAAGATTTCTTGAGGGGGTGTAGAGGACACATTATGGAGTTGAACACTTTCTTGGCTAAAGATGCTCGGATTGAATTGGCTCAACTTTCCATTGGGGATGGAGTTACACTTTGCAAGCGTCTCAAATAGCCATTTCATTAGTTTGGTTTCATCAATTTGTGTACTATATTATATATGATTGCATGTAAGCTTGAAATTGTTGGTTCTCTTGTTGTATTTGTATTTATTTATTGCTATGCAATTTGACAAATTTCTATTTCTCTTTTTAGTTTAAATTTTATATTGTATTTGCTTTGGGACAAAACATACTAATGATTTCTGTTGTTAAATTAAACGAGTCTTATTTGGTTCGACTCGAGTTAGCTTGAGTCTCATTAAGACTCGAAAATAGAATTTTTATATAATTTTTTATAGTTCGGCTCGAGTTTGAGGCCTTAACGAGCTCGAACTCATTTAAAGCTCATTTTTTAGTTAATGGGTCGAACCTCATTAAACTCGAAAACAGAATTTTTTATAATTGTTCGACTCGTTAAAACCAAATATCACTCGTTAAGACTCGATCTCAAAGAACTTAATGAGCCCAACTCGATTTGTAACTCTTTTATGTAGATCTACGAGATTTATTTTTCTAACGAAAAAGGTATCTTTATTCTTGATTAGTCGCGAAAAAGGAAATGTCATCATACTTCCGCCACGTGGCATCATATCCATCGTCAGTTTACATTACTCCTCGAAAGTTTACATCGAATCTCGAAACCATAGCCCTGACGTTAAAATAAAGATTTAAAAGCTCACACTATACTTACTGTGTGCATATACTTGAAGCAATCAAGATTCACGACTTAAACCAGATTTATTTTTCATTTTTCGACGATTTTCCCGAAAACAAGCTATGGCGTCGTCTCAGGTAATTTTTTTTTTTTTTTTTTTTTTTTTTTTT